GTTTCCTGGGCTTTAAACTGCAATGGGGAGAGAAGGCCCTTCTATCTCCTGCAGAGCCAATGGGGAATCCAAATTGTCTGAAAAGTGTGACAGCATGACTCACTACGGACTGAGTTCCCTCTGTAAAGTCACATGGAATCTATGTTGACTTTCAGTCAAAACTCAGCTCATCTGTATGGACTGCCTGCTGCTCAGCACGTGCCCTCATCCTACCCACTTAATAAGCTCCCACCCTCTTGGCTTCTCATTCCTTTGAAAGTACCACATTTATCCTTCAACATATCTCTTCATGGAGTGTTTTTCTCTCTGCTTTTCACTAGGCTAATCCCATGGGGATCAGATTAACTGTCCCGCAAAGAGGCTTTCCTGCACCGCCACTCCCCTCAGCGTGACACTAGCATAGCACTGGGAACTATCCTTTCCAGACACCTTCCACTGTGCTTCTTTAAACACTTACATTTTCAATAAGCATTTATATTTACATGTTTTCATAAGACTATAAGGTCAGAAAGGACAGCAGCCTGGAATTTTGTTATTTCTGCCCCAGAATCTAACATGTTGCCTGGCAGACACACAACAAGCATTCAAACATTTGTGAAGAAATTAATATTTTAGGAGGTTTGTAAGGCCCATTCCTCCCCCATATGAATGTTTTTTAAAATTTTATTTTATTTGATTTGTGTGTAGATCTGACTGGTACAGGAAGAGATTGTCCCTCCTTCTCCAGCAGAGCATCTGGTGGATTCAAACTGTGCACCTCTGGGATCGCAGTGCAGTTTCTTACCACTAGGCCACAAGAGCTCCCTTTATGAATGTGTTGTGTGGCACCTCCTTTAATGTCTGCCACTCTGTTTGTTTACTTTTCATATGTGAGCTTCCTGCTGTAGAGAACACAGTCTAGTGCCCCTTCTCCTGAGGGAAAAAATACCTGTTAATAAGACCAGAAAACGGCACTCTATCCCAGAACACTTACCTGTGCTCCTGTGAAACCTATACATAGACCAAGAAACTGCTGTCTGAACAGAACAAAAGAACATTGTACAGTTTAAAATCAGGAAAGATGTGCATTGGGGTTTGAGGGAAGCCAAATATAAAATTTACTAATAGTAGACCAAGTGCTATATCAGGAAATGAGGGAGGCTTAATACAAGCTGAAGGTCACCTTGTGGCACTAACGAGTTCCCTAAGAGTTAACATTGTTCTTAGTTTGTATCAACTGAATCCTTCCCTCCTGAGATTAGCATAAAGAGGAACTTGGCCTTATCTGTAAAAGACTTTTGTTTTTGTTTTGTACTTCCTTATGATTTTGCTTTGTTTACCTTCCTTATGATTCTAAATAAATACTCAGAGAAGCATGGCTTGGGGCCTTCAGTCATGGGAACTGTTGGCCCCTGTTTTTCACACTCTCTGTTCTATATTATTCCTGGTAGTCTGTCTCATTATTAATAATTATAAAATTATTTCCTTCTTTGGGACCTTCGGTCTGCAACAGGGGTTATAACCTTTCTCCACACCTATTCAGTCTGTATGCCGAGAAAATAATTTGATCCATAATAGTCTATGTATTTCCTATTGCCAAAGGGGCCCTTTAGAGTAGTGAGAGAAGATCTTCACCCTGAAACCTACAGCGTCCCTTTTCAGCAAGAAGTAGCTAAGAGAATATACCGTCCCCTTTTCCTTATGAATCATGGTGAAGTCTCTCTAAGGGAGGAGTGATAGGAAATGGCAAAAGACACACTGACAAAGGAGATTAATCAGAGCTGGCTTTGACAAGCACTGTGGCAATTGGACAATTAAAACAGACACTCCAATGAATGAATGGAAATCCAAATTCTCTGTAAATGTTCATTAAAACTATTAAAAAAACAAAAAAACCCAACAGACTCTCAAGGGGGGGGGGACCAAACTGGGGAGGAGGGTAGAGAAAATAGTACAACAATGAATGAAAGAAAACCCAAAATCTCTGTAAATGATCATTAAAAATTAATAAAATTTAGGGGAGCTCTGGTGGCCTAGTGGCAGGGAACTGCAACTACAATCCCAGAGGCACACAGTTCGAACCCACCAGATGCTCTGCCGGGGAAGGAGGAACAATCTCCTCCTGTACCAGTCAGATCTGATTTGATGGTACATGCGCGTGCACACACACAAATTAATAAAATTTAATAATGAAAAAAGACACTAATAAGCAGAAAAAGAAAATAATTTGAAAACTTAAACTATATGAAGAAGAATGTGGCATCAGAATTGGAGGAAGATTCATCAACAAACTATGTCATGGAGATGACAATCTTGTATGCAGACTCGTAGAAAGTGAGGAAAACTTGAAGCACTTACTGAAGAAGGTCAATTGTTACAAACTTCAATACACATCTCAACATTAAGAAAACAAAAATCATCACTGTTGGATCAATAGGCAACATCACGATATTTGGAGAAAATACATTTTATCAATGACTTCATTTTATTTGCATCCACAATTAACACCAATGCTACAGAAACCAAGAAATCCAAAGGGTGTTGCACTAGGAAAATCTGATTTCAGGGACCTCTCCAAAGTGCTAAAGAGCAAAGATGTCAGTGCCTGATCCAAGCCATTACTTCCTATGCAGCTGAAAGTTGGAGAGTCAATAAGGATGACAAAAGAATCCTCGTCTCTGAACTATGATATTGAAGAAGAGAATGGAATATCCCACGGTTCCTAGGGTTATTATGAGTCTAAGGCAACCTGAGGACATCTGACAATAACAACATCATGTTCAAGACAATTGCATCATGAAGAATTAGGTGGGACCAGTCCTCTGTTAGTTAACCTCAGAGAGGTTTTAGAAGTATGAAAATAAAAAAAAAGAAGTATGACAATAACAATTCTAGTGAGTTCACAGGATAACTTGGGGGCTTTCTGAACCCCACCAGGTACCACAGCCAGTCACTGAAATTCAAATCAGGCAAGAACATCTTCAAAATAGCGATGTGGCCTCAGCCACAGGCATTACCTTCTGCCTGATATAATGACTAATGACTGAAGGAGTGGGCTCCATGTGCTCTGTTGTTTGTTTGTTTTTTAAAAACTTAATGAATGCTAGAACAAACTTAATGAATGCTTACTATGTGCTAGGTCCTTAGGATTAAGTCATTCATCCCCACTATAGACCAGGAGTTGATTATATTATTATCTCCATTTCACAGACAAGGAATGTGAAGCACAGAGAGGTTAAGTAATTTTCCAAAGTCACAGATCATAGCCAATGATAAAGCCTCGGTTACATCTCAACACTAAGAAAACAAAACTCCTCACCATTGGGCCAATAGGCAACATCGTGGTGGATGGAGAAGAGATAGAAACTGTCAATGATTTCATCTTGCTTCAGTCCATAATCAATACTACTGGTATCAAAAGCCAGGAAATAAAAACATGTATTGGGAAAATCAGCTGTTAGGGACCTCTCAAAAGTGTTGAAGAGCAATGATGCCAGCTTAAAGACTAAGATGCACCAGATCCAAACCATGATCTTTTCAATTACTTGCTATGTAGCGGAAAGTTGAAGAGTGAATAAGGATGGCAGAAGAAGAGTCAATGACTGTTGTGGTGTTGGAGTAGAGTGCTAAATATCCCATGGACTGGCAAAAGGACAAACAGACATGTCACCGAAAAGGTTCAGGCTGAGTGTTTTTGGAGGCAAAGACAGTGGAACTTTGTCTAACAAACTTTGGGTATGTTGTTGGGAGGGGCCAGTCCTTGGGAAAAGACATCATGTTTGGAAGAGTGGATGGTCGGTAAAGGAGAAGATGGATTGACACAATGACTGTAACTAATGGAAAGCTCTAGTATGTTGGAGATGATGAGGATGGCGATGGCACAGGATAAGGTAGGGTTCAGATCCATTGGTTATATAAGTCAAAGTCCACGCAACAGCACTTCACAACAACAACAAGAAGCTGCATTACTGAATCCTTGCTGTTAGCCATTATGCTTTGCTGTCAAGAAAAAGGAAAGCTTGTTGGAGTTTTGCCATCACTGACCAGGACTCTTGCCAAAATGAGTGAAACATTCCTAGTCATGTCAAGGGTTACTATCTAGCGAGCTGTTTCAGCCTCACAGATATTATGTATCCATAGTAATACAAAGAGCACAGGCTCAGAATCATAACAACTGGCCTCATATCCTCTCTACTCTTGTCTTTGAAGTGGCTGGCCTTGACAACTGACTTGGCCTTCATGAGCCTCCGTTTCCTCATCTATAAGAGGAGGGTCATAAAAATACTTCATTTCCAGGGTTGATGCAGAAACAAAAGGCTGATAAATCTCGCCTCTTCCCTGCAAAACCTGGCACATCCGCCCTGCCCACAGCACAGTTGTCAGCCCTGTAATTTGGTTCTGGAGCAGCCTTGCCTGCATCCAGGACGGGCACACTGTTCTAAGCCAATTACCAGCACCATCTATCCTCTGAGCATAAGTGAATCAAATGGCATCTGCTTTATAAACCTGTCTTTGGTGATTGAGTTAGGATGACTCATCACTTCCAAAGCCTCACCACCTCTGGAGAAACATGAACAGAGGTAGACCCTGGACTGCAGTGACCCCTGCCTCCCAAAAATAATGACTGGGAGGAGAGAAGTAAAAAGATTACTGTTAGGTAGGATTGTTAGTAAATTCCCTTTCTAGTCTCTAAGCCTTCCTCATCCTTGCAGCTCTTCTCTCTTCACTCCCTGTGTCCAAATAAAAGACCAAACCCACCACTATCAAGTCGATTCCAACTCATAGTGACCAAGAGGGCAGAGCAGAGCTGCCCCGTGGGGTTCCCAAGGTTGCAAATCTCTACAGAAGCAGACTGCAGCTTTCTCCCAAGGAGTGGCTGGCTAATGGGTTCAAACTGTTGACTCTTCAGTAGCAGCAGAGCACTTTAACAACCACCCCACAAGGACTTCTTCTTTATGGTCCCCTGAAAGCCAAACCTGAAAATCAGACTCAAGAAGAGGCCCCACGGTGAAGAGGGTGCTCTAGGGGGGCTGATGTCCTCGGATCTGACAAGGGGAGGAACAAGGGCAGGGCGCCGGGGCTATTACCTTGAGCAAGTTGAAGAGCAGAGGCAGAATCCGTAGGGGCAGCAGCTTGGCCAAGATGCCCAGCACCAGGCTGACGTCCTCCCCGACCCGGCCCACGAGCTCGGCCACATCCTTGCCCACCCTCTGCAGGGTCGTCTTATGCAAGCCCAGCACAATGTAGAGGGCAGCCAGGTATTCCTGCATGGCGGGCACAGTAAACACGAAGGTGCCTGGGTGCCCTGGCTCCACACAAGGGGCCAGAAAAAACCTCAGGGCATCTCGACGGAAGACATGAAGCAGCTGAAACTCCTCTTCCGACTTGATGCCAGCCTCCAGGCACCCACGGACATCCTCTTCAGAGAAGTAAGTCTTCCGAGAGGTCACCCCTTTATGGGCCAACTTGCCCAGGGTGCGGGCTGCATAGGCCATGAGAGACACTTTGGAAGGGTCAGTGCTGTCCAGCGTTTCCCCACTGAAGTTGAGGCGCAGGAAGCTGGTGTAGATGCTTGTGAGTGTCTGGCTGGCTGGCGTGGGGGCATGTAAGAAGTGCAAGGTGGCACAGACGAGCCAGCAATAGGAGGGCAGGAAGCAGGCTGCAGCAATCTGATGGTGCCCCTCCAGGTTCCGGGAGAGCATCTGTACCATGTTGTCGTGTTGGGCAGAGGTGGCCGAGACGCCAATGCCCCCGGCACTGAGCCCACAATCAGGCTGGTTGAGGCGGAGCTGGAAGTAGAGCTTCTGCAGGTTGGTATCAGAGAAGCCACAGATCTCACCGTAGCGGCCCACGTACTTGCTGGGGATTCGGCCGATGGCAGAGGGCCGGGTGGTCACCAGAATGCTGGCCTGCGAAGATCATGACCGAGGTCAAGAAAGACCTTCATGATTGGCTGATTTCCCAGGGAGTCCCTGAAGATTGTGTATGCAAGGATGAAAACAGTGACATCAACTGTGGACCACTGAAGGATCTAAGCTCTCACATCTTTCCAGGGTTGACAGTATATTGGGCTCCTAACTAAAAGGTCAGTAGTTTGAATCTGACTGAGAAAGATGGGCAATCTCCTCTTGTAAAGATTTACAGCCTCAAAAACTCAATGGAAGGTCCTGATGAGTCAGAATCGATCAGGGACAGTAGGATGCATTTGGACAAATGCCCAACGCAAAGCATTACATGCAGAATCTCATGTGACCATTGCAACTCAAGAGGAGAAGGAAACAAACTTGAGGAAGTTAGTGACTTGCTCAAGCTCACAGCTGGGAAGTGGAGGAGCCAGGATGTGAACCAACTCAGATCCACACTCTGACCCAGTGAACATGGGGGCACAGGGCACAAGAAGCCTTGAGGGGACTCCACCAGCAGGGAGCACCCACCTCAGGCAGCATGTATTTGCGCAGCAGGTTGACCATGATGGCAGCTGGTGCTTTTGGCTCCTCAGGGTCACTGCAAAGCCCGGTGCCAGCCAGCCGGAAGTCAAGGTTGAGACGCTCCAAGCCATGGAGCACAAAGAGCAGGCGGGTCCCGGCTGCAGCCATCAGAGGCAGAACCTCTTTCAGGGGTGAGTAGCGCTGGCCCACTAGCTGGTACAAAGAGGCTGGGGTGGTGCCCAGGGATGACAGGTCCTCGCAGGAAAAGGGGATGAGCAGCTCAAAGGCTGGCAGGCGCCCGTGACACCAGTCTAGGACCATCTTGCGCACCAGTGTGCTCTTGCCTGTGCCCACAGTCCCGTACAGAACCACCGTCTGTACCCGGCGCCCACAGGCATCTGGGCCAAAGAGCTGAGACAAGGCCAGAGGTGGGAGCGCAGGCTGGGGCAGCTGATATTGCCGGGCCAGCTCTGCAGAAGGGCGAAGCAGTTCGTCAGTGTTGCTCTCTCGAATCACAGGGTCCACGTGGACCGTGTCTAGTGCAAAAGTTGGGCCAAACTGGCGCTCCTCTCTGGGGAGCCGGATGAACCATTCAGCCAGGTTACGCCGGTGCTTCTGAATTGCTTCTAGAAAGGAAAGGAAGGAAATTGGTCAGAAAAAGGAGCCCAGATATTCAAGAGTTTAGGGTGGTGAGGAGGGGAACCACTGAGGGGTGATGCCATTGGGTCCTCCACACCCCCCACATCTTGCTTTTCTTTCCAGCCCCTTCTAGGTTGATTGAGGAGTCAGGCCCTTTACCAGCTGCAGAGACACTCCGGAACAGCTGCCCATGCCTCCCTGGTGAGGGAGTACTGTCCACTGAGCTTCCATGGTGACGTGCAAAGGTCCTGGGAAAAGACGAGGGGAGAAACTGATGCTTCTTTACAGGCCTCAGCCTGGCCCAGACACTTGCCTGGCCCAGTCCATCTAGACCACTGAACTTCCTGAGATCCAAGCCCAACATTGGACGCTAAGTAGACAGCCTTGCCTGAGCGCTCACATCCTTCTAGGGTTCCATGGTCTGAGATCTCACCCCTCCTTACACTACCTGCTGGCCTGCATCTCTGGCTAGTAAAGGTCAGACTCCACCCCACTCTCCACTGGCTTCCCTCAGGCTGACCACCATGACTTCTATTTTAGGTAATCTAAGCCAGCTTCCTCTTAGGCTTAGTTGCTGACTCCATACCCTCTCCATTTAGGAAGGCCATCCATCTTCTCCTTATTCTCAGGATCAAGCTTGTTCCAAGTCTTGACCCTTCCTACGCTGTCCTGATGTTTTTAAGGTAGGATAAGAAGGGCTCACCTAGGGGGCCCAAAGGGACATGCTCCTTTAAGAGGCCAATTCCAGTGGATCAGGAAGGGGATATGTTTATCTACAGAGAGAAGGTGGAAGGGAAAAAGCACAATATACAAATCAACCCACACTTTCCCACCAATACCTAGACCCCAGTCTCAGTCAAATAATTTATTTGCTCTCATTGTGATTGTTATACAATTTCCTATTTTATCATGTTACTATTTGATTAATGTTACTCTTCCTCACACACAGATTAAGGATCACATCTGGTTTTGCTCACAATAATATACCTAACATATAGCCCAGAGCCTAGCACATAGCAGACACTCGGGAAATATTTGTTAAGTGCAAAATGAAGTCAGATCATTCTTCTTGGCCTTGTATAGCTCACAATCACTTCAGAGAGTCCAAATATCTTATTTTTGGGAGAGAAAAGGGAATCTCACAGAGATGGGGTGACTTGCCCAAGGTTACAAGCCAGAGAATGGCAGAGCAGGGACTAGTGCATCTGACGCCCTGCTCTCCTGGACTCACATGAGACAGGAGAGTTAGGAGCAGAAACCTGGGATCCCTGCTTACCTGGTAATTGGTATGCTCTTCCCAAACCAGAGCCCCAAGAGGCTCTGGGCAACTGGCAACCCAACATCATGGTGGGAGAGAGGGTCAGAGCCCAGGAGAAGACACCACCTTCTTTCTATCCTGCTCTCTGTAAGAAGAACAGTGTAAATGGTGCAGTCCCCATGGCAGGCAAGGACCAGCCCAGAGGATCAACCATTCCCAAAATGTCAGCTCTGCTGACGTTCTGTCTGGCTTTCCCTCTCCTCCCTTTCCTATCCCTGCCACCAAATGATCCCATTTCCTCTCCTACCACTTTTTGCATTTGTCCTGAGTTCCAGCCTTATATGCTATTTTAGTGATATCTTTCTTTTTCTTGTTGGTTTGGCTGCCAGCAAGCTCTGATAGATATCCTGGGTTCATTTTCAATGGCTCTTTTGAACCTAGATTTTCCAGTAATAATTAGCCATTCTCTTCTGTCTTTATTACTTAGCTGTCTGGTTCTTTTAATGCTTTTCTCATTTGTATCTTCTCTGTACCTTCCATGTAAGTGGCCTTTGAGGCCGGTATTAATAATAAATAAATGGAAAAAAAAAAAATAATAAATAAATGAATGAATGAACTTCCTGTTTGACATCTCCATATGAATCTCCTGCCAGCGCTTCAATGTCATGCTTCCAAAACTCAGCTCATCTTTCTCTCTCCTTTTATTTCCTGTAAGTTTTCCCAGGTACACTATTTAGACCCTGAACCTGACTTCTTTGTCTTCAAGTTCTTCTTGCTCCCTCCTTCAGTCAGTCCAAATAATTTCACCTTCCCAAATCCTTTCCCAAAGCTTTGCCTGTCTGGCCGCCATGCCTCACCCTAGTAATCACACAGTCCCTTCCTGCACTTACAGGGATCCACATCTCCCCACTGGTCTCTCTACCTCCAATTCTACTCCATTTCAATCCTTCAGCTTCACTACCAGCCGTCTCCCTAGAGGCCTGAGAGTCAAAACACCAAAGGCACACCTCTCACCAGTACCCCATTCCCCAGGTCCACCAAAAATTCTTGCTCACATTTTACTCAACTTGAAATGACCTTTCTGTCAGATTCTACAGCACCCTTTGAAAGTCCCCTTTTCTGGAAAATCTTTCCTGATCCCTCAGGGCTCCCTTGACAAACGGCCTGAGTTCCTACTGGGCATCTAGTCTCCTCCATGGAGAGACAACTCCTTACTGACAGGGTAGTGTGAGAATTGGAAACATTGCCCCATCTCCCTTCCTAGAGACAACCAGTGTGGGGTGTCAGTTTGGAGCCTGAGCAGATCTCAGGGCTGGGGAAGAATTAAGACGGGGCTCCAGAAGTGTGAAGAAAGATGGTGTGCTCAGTAGGTTAGAATAAGAGCGTGAGCCAGAGTCAAAATGAGTAGGCCTCCATGGGGGTGAGAGAGGGAATGTCACAGTACAGGAACTGTGTTCCCTCCCACGGGTCCGAGCCTTCCCACCAAACTGGGATTCAATTTCAGCTGCACTTGGTTTCAGAGACCAAGGAAAATCTGCCAGAATGCCCACCACTGAGGGCACCAGCTCGTTCCCACTCTCCCAGGCTGGGAAGTTCAGCCGCACCTGCCCAACCCCCACCCGGCCCCGCCCTGGCCCGGGCGGAGCGCAGCCGCCCAGCTGCACCAGGAGGGCGGCGGAGGTGGCTAGACCTTTACCCACGGCTGCCCAGACCCCCGGGAGCACGCTGGCCGGCGGCCCCGAGCGGTCAGCCGGCAGGAGCAGGCGAGTCCCCGCTGGCTCCCCGAGTCCCCGGCGCCGCGCGGCACTTCCTGCCCGCCTCCGCCCGCCTGCGCGCGGCTCTGCCTGCCCTGGCATCCGGCCTGGGCAGCGCGCACGGGGGGAGGACGAGTCCCGGCACCGCGGGGTCCTGGGAGCCGGAGTGCCCGAGAGCTGGTGCTGGGGCTCCTCCCTCCCTGCTTCACCCGCGTCCCCTCCGACCCCGCCGCGCCTGCTGCCCTCTGCAGTTCACCACCGACAAGCACACCCAGCTTCCTCTTTCGCAGCCTCTTAGGCCGGACTTGAAGCTGTCCTCATCTGACGTATGAAGAAACTGAAGTTTCAGAAGGTGAAAGACGGGCTCTGGTTGACACATTTAAGAAGCGGAAAAGCCAGAACTGAGTCTTGGGCCAGTCTCCCTCCCTCGCCTCTGGTCCTTCCTGGTTGTACACTTTTGCATGAGAAAGGACTTTAGGTTTTTCCAAATTACTAAAAAGTGTTCCACAACTCTGGAGGCAAGGTATCCCTGAGAGCATCCTTCATCTGACTCGCCTACCCTTCATCAAAGAGCAGAATCCTGGGCATTCCTGAGCCCTTACTTCTATACCTGGACCTCTTCAAACCCCGGACCTCCAAGTGTGATCTCAGGTCACGTTGGTCAAAGGAGGAAGAATGGAACATGAGCTGTGGTTCCTACCGCAACTTGATTATCCTGCTCAGCACCTAATCATAGGCTAACCTCAGAGCTTCCGGGTTCTCCTCCCTACACTTCCTGAAGAGGCACACCCATGGTCCATGCAAAGAAGATGGGGTAGCCCCCCACCACCCACCGCCAGAGCACACCTTCACATGCAAGCACATGTGTGCACTATGCACCCAGCACAGGTGCCCAAGTAGGGAATTCAGAGAGGCTTCCTAGGGCCAGCCTGGAGGGGGGCTTTGTGATTTCTACCCCTGATAGGAGCTCGTATCAGCCATTATAATTCATTTGTCCATTTAAGTCCATTTAAATGTCCATTTGTCCACTGTTGTTGTTATGTGTCATCACATAACAACATAACATGTGTCATCACATGTTATGTTGTTATGTTGTTGTTATGTGTTGTTATGTGCCTGCAACTCACAGCAACCATATGTACAACAGATCTGAACTTTTAAGTCTGTCTCACTGTCTCCGACACCCCTACCCCCATTATCCCAGTCTCTGGGTCAATTTATCTCACCTGGAGTCTTCCTTTCTTATACTGTTACCCCACCCTTCCACACATGATGAAGACCTTCTCCAAGGACTGGTTCCTCCTGGCCACATGCCCAAAGTATATGAGAAAGAGCTTCAAAATCCTTGTCTCCAAGGAGCAGCCTGGTTTCACCCTCTCCAGAACAGACCTGTTTGTTCTTTTGGTAGTCCATGGTATGTATGTTCAATGCTCTTCCCTAGCACCCTAAGTCAAAAGCATTGATTTTTCTTCTGTCATCATTAGACATTGTCCAGCTTTCTGTTGCATAGCAAATAATTGCAAAGACCATGGCCTGAATCAGGCACACCTTAGTTTCCAGATTGACATTGTTGGTCTTTAGCATTCTGGAGAGGTCCATGACAGCAGATTTCTCCCTAATGCAATTCATCTTTTGATTTCCTGACTGCTAGTACAAAGAGTGTTGATTGTGAAGCTGAGCAAGCTGAATTTATAACAACCTGAATCTCTTCTCCATTTATCATGGTGCTGCCAATTGGCCCAGTGGTGAGAATCCGTGTCTTCTTGATGTTGAGCTTCAATCTATATTAGAGACTAAAATCCCACTGTTGTTGTTAAGTGCTCTTATGTCATAGGCAACTCATAGCAATCCTATGAACAAAAGACCTGAACACTTGTATCATTTTCATAGTTTCTCAAAGTTCATAGGGTTTCTGGAGGCAAGCTATTTCAGAAGTAGACACCACTCCTGCTTCCAAGCTTGTTTTAATCGGGAAGCTCTACCAAACACTGTCCACCATGGGTAACTATTATCACATTTGACACATCAGGATCACAGTGTTCAGCATCACAGCAACCATGACTTACCACTGTACAGCAAATGGATAGACCAGTGTTATACCACCTAGAAGAATGACCAAAAGCAAAACCAGGCCGGAGGAGATGCAGATTAGAATCACCCACCTTTGGCTTGGTAGCATCACTTTCTGTCCATTAGGCCAACTGAGCTTTATGTTGTTGTTGTTATTAAGTGTCATCAAGTCATAGGCAACTTGTAGCAACCCTATGAATGAAAGACTTGAACGCTTGTATAACTCCCTTCATTTCTCCAAGTTCATAGGGTTTCTGGAGGCAAGCTGTTTCAGAAGTGGATGCCACTTCTGCTTCCAAGCTTGTTTTAATCCCATTAGACATCTTGAAACTGGTAAAAAGGCAGCCTTCCATTGCCTGTCACTGTAAACTAATTGAATAGAGACAATGATTAAATCTCTTAAAGACACTTGATTCAGATGCTGACGATCTGAGAGAAACCAGTCAGTAAGGATGTCCTAAAGACTGTATTCTGACATCTCAGAATCAGCTAGGCTTTTTAAGGCAGTGGTCAAAAGAAGTAGGGAAGGGGTAAGGGCTCCTGTTGAGGGAAAGGTCCTTCAGGGAAATGTCCAGGATGGCTTTTTTCCATAATGTCTCCTCCCCTGATGGCTATCAAACATCCTGTGTTTGATGTTCTAGGCAAGTAGTTATCAGGCTTCCTTGCACATGGTGCATTCTTCAAGTAATTTAGCAGAGTTTATTTTTTACGTTAGGTGACTTGATTGCAAATCCTTGGTTCCTGCAATAACAATCTCACGGCTGGCTAATCAATCAGGTTAATGAACTTTACACAGGCAATTTTTATTTTAATTCTAAAACTGTTGTTAGATGTCATTGAATCAAGTATGACTCATAGCAACCCTATGAACAACAGTTCTGAATCCTATACTATACTGTGCCATCCTCACAGTCTCTGACATACTCAAGTCCATTGCTGCAGTCACTGTGTCAATCCATCTGGTTGAGAGTCTTCTTCTCTTTTACTGACTCTCCACATTTCCAAATATGATGTCCTTGTCCAAGGAATAGCCTCTCCTAGCAATACGCCCAAAGTGTGTGAAATAGAGCAGGCGCTCTCTGGCTACACCTTCTCCACGACAGCTGTTCTTTTGGCAGTCCATGGGATATTCAGTACACTTCTCCAACACCAAAGCTTAAAGGCATCAATACTACATCTGTTATCTTTCATTGTCAAGATCTCTGATGCATAGCAAGTGATCAAAAATACCAGGACCTGAATCAGGTAGACTTTAATGTCAAACTGACGTCATTGTTCC